TAGTTTACAACTCTTGATTTACTGTTCAAGACCCAAGAGCCACTCGAGGTAGAAGGTTATAAAATAAGAGGGAAGGAATACCGTTTAAGTGGGGAAGCTAGCTTCTGTTTAGCCGTGTATATTTTCAAGAGGCACGCTATCGACCGTTAAAGATTTTATAAATTTCAACCAAGAGTTTCGTTGGATCTTCTGTTATTAGGTTAAAAATGTATTGACCGGAGATGCATCGTTTTTGTGGTCAGTTTACCAAAGTAGCGGTCCGTGGGAAGAAGCTGCTCGTGTAGAACTTAGATCTCACCAACGGAATACGAAGGGTATAAGGGTTGTTCGCTTCAATGGGCGTGGCATGTCAGGTGCTAACCGTGAGGGTTACTACTGGTAGAACTAAGGAATGTAGTTTTTTTTAGCACTTCCCATGGAAATACCCATAGAGCAACTAGTGGCTTGAAATATTTCGTCTGCGGGGAAAGAGGTTGTAGAGTGGGAAATAATTTATCACCCAAAAGACTGTGTAGACGCTTTGGGATTCTAGCGAGTCTGGAGAATTGAAGACTGGGTTAGCTCCTGTCCAAAATACTCCATTTCTGGCCCGCCAAAAAAAAAAAAAAAAAAAAGAAAAAGAAATCAGAGAACAATAAACAGATATTATTTCAATGTCTTACAACATGGCACGTATCGACATTGTGCAGTACACTTATCGTTTCCATTCTTGCAAATGTCCTCTTGAATTTCACTAGAAATCGAAAATAATCGTCGGAAAGTGCGTTTTGATTAACCCACAAGCGCTTGAATCTCTATCTATAAAAAGCAGGATGTGTGTGTGTGTATGTGTGTGTGTGAGTGTGAGTGTGAGTGTGTGTAACGAATGCACGGCCGCAATTTTCGACGGATTTGCACCAAAATTTACATGCACATGCTCCAAGTTAGCGGGAAGACCAAGACCGACTTTGCATTTCCCAACTCCCATTGATAGTGGAAATAATCGATTTTTTCATGCTTCTACGGCAGTTTTCATGTAGTTTGCGGCCATTTTGTACTGGCCAGAGTGAGAACATATAGCTGACTGCCACGAATAGGCAGGAAGATTCTATTGGCCAGCGTGAGAGCCAACAGCTGACTAAAACGAATGTTAACTAGTATGCCAAAAAAATCGATAGCTGCATTCGTCACAAGTGGGAAAAATTTAAATCTGCATGGCACTTTACTCCAATTGGCTCATTCGCTTGCTTAAACTCAACGTTGATTCTGATTCCGCAGAACTGGGTTGGGTGTGAAAAAGTATTTGTTGTTAACATTCTTTTTTCATTCGGTTTTTCCAGTTACGAATCCTTTTTTAAAGCTGATCGTTTTGTGTTCATTTTGTTTAGTTCTTTTTTTCGTAACAGATTTAATGTTTAGTATAGAGCTTAGAAAAAATTAGGTGTGAGATAGGCAAGAAGTAAGGCATGTAGCAACATCAGCACGGCAAAGGGCACTCCTTTAAAGGCAAGGAAGTGCAAAAATATTTTAAGTCAAGTGATAGCGATTGCTGTATGAGTCGTACGATTTTTGAATCAAGCACGGGCAACACCGGGCCATGCTGCTAGTTGAATATATCCGCTTCTTCACTAGCCAGCAACCATGGTGCCTCCGATTGGCGTCCCGAACGAGAGACTATCCCCAGCCCTCTAAGGAATTCTGAATCTTGTACCAGACATAGATGAGACTATCTGTACAGTTAAGAACACAATTTTCGCAAGGTATGTTTGACGGGCTTACGACCATAAGACCTTGAAACACCGTTTCTCGCACGATCACCGAAGATAAGCAAGTCGAGCCTGGTCAGTATCTAGATAACCGCTTGGAAATACCAGTTGCTGCGAGCTTGGCTGCGTGCGCATGGTGCAATGGATATCTGTTGTAACCAAGTTAATGGTTAGAGAAATAACAAAACAAGTGTTACAGATATATCATATATTAACCAGTAAGTACAACAGTAGAATATTAAACGACTAGTGAATGTGTGTCGGTTGACCCAGTGTTTAATCTGTTCGACTGTTCTGCCAAGGCCTTCTCTCCTACTACTCTTATAGTAGGCGGAAGAGTCCAACATAGATTCTTTAGAGAGAGGGCACCACAATAATATCGGCTCGGAATTTGAAATCAGAGAGCCGGGTTCGACTTCCAGTCGAGTTTGTTAGATTCAATTCCGCACAAATATCCTTATGAGTCAAGCTTTTCTCCAGTTATACGTTAAGACAGACTAGGCCATATAGCCTTGGTTGGTGACCAGTTCACCGCAGAAAATAACAGCTGCTTACTGTGGGTATTCTTCTGCCAAGTTAATCATGACTCGAAAAAGGACATGATCACACTAGCATGCATCACGTATGGCATTGAAGGAAAGAGATATAAAAGTATAAAAGATAAGTAAATCGAACAGAGGGTAGGTTGTGTCAGGGGCAGTTTTCTCTAACAAATAGATTACTCCATCTTAAATAAATCAACACATGACTAACTAAGTATTAGACCGCCCCACATGTCACATAACAAGCTGAGAATGCTGATGTAATGTAAACAAAAAAAAAATAAGAGTGAATGGCCGCTTAGGAAATCATTAATCTAAAAGGGAGGTAACTTTAAAAAATTGAACTTTTAGAATGTATATTAACAATGTACAATTACATAAAAATTATCAGACGTTATTTCAATTCCCTAGACATCTTTTCAACAATAAAAAGCATATTTAAACCATTTTTAAAAAATTTTTTTTTTACTAATCCACGAATTATAAACAACTGTGAGTTAACTCGCTTTTATGATTTTCAATTGCGTAAACGGCCCGTTTTGTAAATGAACGCTCTTAAGTAAATTTTCTACCTCATAGTTCATAGCATTAAAAATTTAATTATAAAATTTCTTGTAATATTTTGTTTCAAAAAATGGTTAACAAATGTGTTGCATTTGGCTGTTCTAGTGGATATGTTAACAACAGTGAAAAAGTATCGAATTTTTTTTTCTTGGAAAATCTGGCCTCGTAGAAAAATGGATAAAATTCGTTAATTGTATTGATTTGTTTCCTAAGAAAAATTCAGTTCTCTGTATGAAACATTTTGAAGAGAAATTTATTTTGAAAGGAAAACAAAATAAACTAAATAAAGATTCACATCCAACACCAACAATACATTCAGGAAAATAAGAAAACCGCCTCTTTTGCCAAATACAAGGGAATTCAGAAAGCCTCCAAAACAACGACTAGTCCAAACTGATGAATGACATGATTTTATTTCAGCTGATACGATAAAGGATTTTACTCATTTGGAAGAAGCAAAGTGTTGTTCTAACGGATTTGAATTTTAAAAAAAGGAAGATTATATTCTAATTTATAAAATAGTCGTTGACCCTCAAACACATTTTCAATCTATAAAAAAGAATGTATTTGCATTGAACAAAACCTTCACGTCCATCTCCCGTGCGATGGAACCCCTATACCATTACCACTGTGCTCTATACACAAGATTTATCATGTTAGAATAACTATACACAAAACGTGGTGGAAGAACAACCATACTCAATTGTAAAACTATTACAAAAAAATCAACATTACCAATCAAGAGGCTGTCCTTCATTTTCTGCAGAACTAATACGTTATGCCTTACTACTGGGCTGTAGATCTCGCCATGCCTACAAATTACTTCTGGAGAAATTTCCATTACAATCTTTTTCTTTATTAGAGGAAATTCAAAAAAATTAATTAAATGTTTTCAACGTGAAATGTATTCCCTAGTCATGGTAGGCAATGATAGTGATGATGCTACAGAGAAGCAGTACTTTGACTTACTTTCTTGAGGAAGTTTTACAGGTCCATCTAGCCAAATGGCAGAGTTTGTACTTGTCTTGCTATATTGACTATACAGATAAATTTATTGTAAATATGTTTTTACTTGTGAACACACCGAAAAAGAATTCACTTTGCAGCAAAAATTGTTGTGAATATATTTTACAACAACAAATAATGTTGGAAAAAATAATGTAGAATATTTTCAAAAGGTCAACGGTCAAAAGAAAATTGACTTATAGAAAAACTGTTGGTAAGTTTTTTACTTGTATTTGTTTTATATTACTGATTAATTCTTTAATAACTTTTTTATTTGTTTACTAACTTTTATTATTATTATTTTTCTGTTTAAAAAGAGAAAAAAAAACTGTTTATTTTTGGATCGTTTTAACATGTTTTAGATAAAACAGACATAAATTGACAAGAAACCAAATAGGCCTGTTAGAAATTAGCCTGAAATGTGACATATTAGTACATATTAGTGGGCCGTGATCATCGAAAGTGCTTTGCGACATATTTTGACATCAGTTTGAGATTTTTCTTGTTAAAAACCTGAATAATTTTGGCATAGTTAATAAACATTATGGATAAAAATAAATTGTGAATTTTATAGTGTTTTCTTAGGGACTTTGGATGGGCAAAGCAAATTCACGGATTTGTACGAAAAAAAAGAAAAGAAAAAAGACTTCAGAATGACGTCAAAATCTATGAAAATCTTTCGTCCTTTAACAGTTTAATTTGAAACGTATATAAATGCAGGCAGGAAAAAGAAAATGTTGATAAGATAACTAAGGTCACAAACCACTGGCCTCCAATCAGTCTTGCTCTCCCCACGATCGAAGGGTTCGGAGGTAGTACGCACCAGTCCTGCGTGTGAGTAGACGCGAAGGGAATTCCTTCTACTTTGTATATAAATTGATATCATCTATAAATAAACTTACATTAATATACACTCTTATGATGAATATTAACGAATCTAGACACGTGTATATATTATAGAATAAAAGCCTTTCGAGTGAAAGTAAAAAGGAAATGTATGTTATTTTCCAGCTATAGTCATTCGACTGGTAACGCACACACACACTTACACATACGTCCGTACGTTCCTTCACATGGGCGGCATTTTAAGTCCCGTTTCTTGTGCTTTAAGCCGTCGTTCCCACGCGTACATATGGGCTCAAAAATGTATCAATACCTACGAATGACGACTAAGCATTGGGGCGATGGAACAACCCTGCCTCCTCTCACCCTTAGACGGGATCCATTTACGTACCATACGGTTTGTCTGTCTGTGTTTTTATTTCTTTGTTCTTTTCACACACGCACAAGGGGCTCACTCACGATGGATTTCTGCTAACAAGCGATTGCTTTGTTTTTTTTTTACGTCTTATCAACCTTTTCAGGTTATTTAAAGCCATATTTTTTATTTTTTTTTCATTTGACGGCTTTTTTATTTTTAGAAAAATGATGTACGTGGGTTGCTTAGTTGATTTGAACCTTTTAAAACTTTTATTGTACAATCTACATTCAACATTATCACAAGATAAGACACAAAAAGTGTTGAAAGAAAATTGGTGTTTTTGTAGTGTCTTTATAACATATTTATGTTATAATTTATATATATATATATATATATATATATATATATATATGCACACACACACACACACACACACACACACACACACACACACACACACACACAGGCACGCACGTGATTGAAAAGTAACTCACTATTCTACGTATGATGGATTCTCCCGTCTTGTAAAGATTAAAGTTAGACAGGAGAGTCCATCAAACATAAAAAATGGTAGTTACCTTTCAATCACCCTCCTCTCTCTCTCTCTCTCTCTCTCTCTCTATATATATATATATATATATATAAGAAACGAATGATATCCGATATTTTTAATGGATACTTATATTTGAGTAGATGATCTGTTGTATTTATTATACAATGTATTTATTTATTTCCTTCTACTGACCTGAATATTCGAGAAATCGTGTTAGAAAAACATGCACACTCCACCAAGATTCGAACCTGCTTCCCTTAGAGGGAACCGTCATAAGATCCGACGAGACTTGACCTCTCGGTCACGTAGAACCTGTTGCGTTAACAAATTCCGAGTAGTGCATTTGAACATATAACCATCCGTATTCTCGAAATATATATATATATATATATATATATATATATATATATATATATATATATATATATATATATATATATATATATAGATAGATAGATAGATATCCTAACGTAAACATTTAATTTTTCATTGAATTAAATTAGACTATATTTTAATTTATTTCCTTTCCTTTCAGATTAAACAGTTTATTTATTTTTTTCATCTGTACCTTCAATGTTTGTGAAATTCCCATATATTTCTAAAAAGGTTTCTTGAATATTCAGCTCAGATTAAAATAAATAAATTTTTAATAGATAAATTCAGAATAAAAATAAAACAGAGCGTCTACTCAAATATGAGTATCCATTAAAAATAACTTTAAACAAATAAATTATATATATATATATATATATATATATATATATATAGATAGATAGATTACGGTTTTACCTTTTCATTGTACTTTCAGACTATGTTATCTTTTCCTTGTACCTTCAGATTACGGTGTTATCTTTTCATTGTACCTTCAGACTACGGTGTTATCTTTTCATTGTACCTTCAGATTACGATGTTATCTTTTCATTGTACCTTCAGATTACGGTGTTACCTTTTCATTGTACCTTCAGATTACGATGTTATCTTTTCATTGTACCTTCAGATTACGGTGTTATCTTTTCATTGTACCTTCAGATTACGTTGTTACCTTTTCATTGTACCTTCAGCTTACGATGTTATCTTTTCCTTGTACCTTCGGATTACGATGTTATCTTTTCCTTGTACCTTCGGATTACGATGTTATCTTTTCCGTGCTCTGATAAAACACTTCACAGATATTTAAATTTCTGTATCTTTTCTTAATTTTCGAGATTAAATCCACTTTTCATTGTTTTCATCTTACGGTCTACCTTTTCATTGCTGGCAACCATACTATTGTGTCTTCTTTTCATTGAAATTAAGTTAATATTATATATATATATATATATATATTCATATTACGGTGTTACCTTTTCATTGTACCTTCAGATTACGAAGTAACATTTTCATTAAAGGCCTTCAGATTAAGCGGTTAAATTTTTCTTTTTTCTTTTCTGGACCTTCAGATTACGTTGTTACCTTTTCATTGTCCTCAATTCCGTGTACGATGTTATCTTTTCTTCCGCCATCAAAGTTCGGATTACGAAAATCCCATTCTATGTACCTTCGGATTACAAAATTTATCTTTTCCGTGCTCTGATAAAACACTTCACAGATATTTAAATTTCTGTACTTTTCAATTTTATAAATCACATCCTAGTTTTCATATTATATTCAAACAGGTCTGGCAACCATAAATTGTGTCTTCTACGTTGAAATTATTTTAATTTATATATATATATATATATATATATGTAGATAATCTCAAGACTACATTTGAAAAACATGTTTCATTAAAGGCTACGAAAGGTTAGTCAAAAAAAATAAATTTTTCTTCTGTTTTCTTTCGGACACATAGTGTAACAACTCTCCAAATATTATCCTCATTCCGTATATATATAATTCTATTCTTCCGCCATCAAAGTCCCAACCAAAATCCCATTCTATGACCATAATGGCAAAATTTACATCAAACTAATGTTTTGGCATGGGAAAACCAAAACCCATTTTATTTTTTCAATTATTATATGTCAATTTATGATATTCAAACAATCCGTAAACCTTAAATATATGTCCGCTACATGTAGGCGATATTTTTATTTTAGCAAATAACATCAATTAAAGAAATAATGCTCTCTCAATTTACATTTGAAAAACACTCCTCCTTTTTTAAAAATAAAATATCTAAAAAATAAACTCCTATTCTTAGATGTTCTCGTAGAATATTTAACAACACTTTTATTTCATTATATATATATATATATATATATATATATATATATAAACATTAACAAAAACGCTTGCCACCTTAACTTTAAAAGTGAATGCCCACCCAGGAACAAAATAGCACTGATAAAAATCTTCCGAAAAAGATCAAACCAGAATTCATTCTCTCGACTACTCTTCCTTAAAGAACTCAATAATATAAAACAGACACTAATTAATAATGGCTTCCCTAACCACCTTATAGATCACCAAATTAGACTATTTCTCCCCCAAAGTAAATAACAACGATAGAGAACACACAGTCAAAAATAACTTAAATATTTTCTATAAAAACCAAATGCATGTCAACTACAAACAAGATGAATCTTCACTTAAAAATATTATAAAGAAATACACGACCCCAATTGACCCGAACAAAAAAATCCAATTAATTATCTACTACAAAAATTTTAAACAGCTAACCTTATCCTCAAAAATAACAACACACTTGCAAAATCAAAATTACAACGAACGAACGTTATCTATGAGTTCAAATGCCCCTTAAGGTAGTGTGTTCCTGATCAAACCGAATTCATAAATAATTACATCGGTCACACAACTACATGCCTATCCAGACGTCTTACGTTGCACTTATCTGACCACAGCTCTATTAAAATCCATTTAAACACAGACACAAACTTAGCAGACTCCATACGAAACATACTAGTCAAAAAATAGAAACATGATAACCTCATCCACATGTAAAAAAGAATAAAAATAATGGAAATCCAACACTCAATAACTATGAAAACGGCCACTGTGTGCTAACTGTGTTCGGAAAATAAAACATTCTTATAACTCTAAAAATATACACCCAACCCATACACCCAATTAAAAAGCAAAAATAAGATCATCCTTGATAATGGCTAAAAGTATAGCCGAAAGCCCTCGGAATTACAAAACATTTGGACAGTTTCTACACACTCTGTGTCCAATAAAGAAAACACTTGTTAGAATACAAGAAAAATTAAATAAAAAGTTTAATCGTAGTACCTTGTCTGTCGTCTTTAAGAAAACATGTATAAATGAAGGATTGCTCCTTAAATACACAATTACACACACACACACACACGCACACACACACACACACACACACACACACACACACACACAGAGACACATATATACATATATATGTATCAGTGCGAGAGAAGAAACTGTTAGCATAGAATTTGCGGCTACATCTAGTCAGCTTTACTGTAGATTGATGAGATCTCGACGCCAGGCTAGTACCACGTTTAAATTCAAAAACTCAAAGTACCAGAACGAAGATTGCATTCGAACAATTACCATGAAATTATATATAGAAAATATACACAGTAGCAACCTCACGGTAGTGGGAAAGTGACTGATGTTGAGATGCCAGATCAGGGCCAATAATATTGCAGATATCTCTTTGGATCTTATCAAGAAGCTCAAGGTAAATAGCAGGGGCAGTGGACCGTATGTGGTAGCAATATTATAAACATCGAAAAATGTTAGACTTATAGATATGTAATTACTTAATATTTTTTTATATATTAAAGTTAACTCGCTAGCAGGCACTAGACCTCTTCAAGACAGAGGGTTAGTATTAAAATGTTTTTTCTGAATAAGGTGACATGACCTGAGGTGTTAAGATTGAAGTGTTTTAGGAAGCATCTTCGCGTGAATCTGTTTCATAAAGTAGTTGTTATTTGTAAAAAAAATATCAGAGTGAAATTTTCTTTTCGCATTTGGAACAAACTGAAAATAAGTGTTATCCGACAGTGGGGAATTGGCATGATATGTCCTGGGAGTAAAAGTCTGAACTGGTTGAATTTCTGTAGAAAGACGGCAGACCTTCTCGACACTAAGTGTTGATTATAGACTCCTGTATCCGCTATGTGTAGAACGTCTGCTAATTAGGATAGGTCCTCGCAAAGTGATTTGCAAGGTGTAGCGCTTGATTCGCACGCATTGCCACACTGAACTAAGATATTTTCTGTTACTTTATTGTCTGTTACTTTTTTAATCCATCTCTCTCACGTGATTACACCTGCCCCTCCCTCAACCTTTGTTTCCAGTGCTTTCCTTACCGTATTATTAACCAGAACTTTGAACGTTATACGAACTTTGGAACAGAACTGAAGAATAGAGCTCTTCAGAAACATGGCTATGAAAAGAGCACTGTCTGTGTGGAAAATTGCTGCTAAGTGACAAAGAGGTAATCACCCAAAAGGCCGCGTAAACTATTTTTTACTATGGAATTACTGTAAATGTGGATTGAGTAAGTTCAGCCCAGATATAGCAGTCATACTTTATTTTTGGTCTCACCTGATGCCTTTGCACAAGAATTTGAACATATGTAAAGTTTTTTAATGCTTCGGTCTGACTTTCTCTCATACACACGCACACATACACAAACGCTCTATCTCTCTCACTGTCACACGCACAAAAACACACACATGCTCTCTCTCTCTCTCTCTGTCTCTCTCTCTCTCTCTCTTTCTATATATATATATATATACATATATAAGTGAAGATTGATATCAACACACAGATGTGACAGACTGTTTCATGCTAGACGCAATCATCAGGCCATATATATATATATATATATATATATATATATATATATATATATATATATATATATAATCAATCAAGTAAACCCTAAAGATTCATTTCGGTTATAATTTATTTCGTGAATATAATATCAATATATTCATCTCTTCACACCGAAATCTTTTAGTAAAAAGATATTACTAAAAGATTTCGGTCTGAAAAGAATTATAACCAAAATGAATTTTTAAGGTTTCTTCTTGATTATTATTATTATGTTCTGTAGTTTACATTGAACTCTCCCTGGTTTCACTATTTGCTCCTAATTACTACACTCCCAAGCAAATGTACACAACTGTATCAAAAAATTAAAAGAAAATGGTTGAATCCATCAACACCACAATGAAAATACTATTTCCACACGTGACAGTACTTGACATAATTTTCAGTTGCCAATATGAATACAATAGCGTTTCTAAATTCTTCCAGTTTCTAAGGACATTTTGTTTTGTTGTTAATAGTTACTTTGTTTTCAATAAATTCATTTCGTTTTTACTTTGAAAAAGCCCACATTGGACGAAACGCGTCGACTAATAATACGGTTTTCTTATTGTCTTTTATCCTTTATAAATAATTATGAATGCAAAAAACTTGTTCTAATTCATAATAAGGAAGAGTGGGTAAAAAATTCTGAAGTCCATTTTGATATTACAATGGGATCGACTTTCTATCTTGTTGGTGTATTTATTTTATATAATCTGTGAAATTAATATTGAAAATATTGGACTGTATAGGGATGATGGCCTTATGGTTATGAGGAAGTCTACAAACTTCAAAATTGATAAAATTAGAAAACTAATACGTAGAGAATTTAAGTGCCTAAATTTGAAAGTTACTATTAAAAATTAAAAGAAGTAAAATTCCTCGATATAACATTAGACTTAATGGAAAAAAAATATACTAACATTATAAAAAACCTAATAGCAATCCTTTATATATACACCCAAAGACAAATCACCCCACATCTAAAGCAGGTACCTTCATCCATAGAAAAACGAATAATTACAAATTCTGCTAATGAAAGAATATTCTATAAACATATATAATATAGTTATATTAAAGCTTTAAAGAATAGTGGCTATATATGCCCTGATATTAAATATAACAATAATAATAAAAATAACCAGAGAAGAAAGAGAAATAGAAAAATCATTTGGTACACACGTACATTCAACCAAATGGTTAGTAGTAAGTTAAGACATAAATTTTTTGCTTTAATTGAAAAACATTTTCCTAGAAATCGCATGCTTATCAAAATTTTTAATAAAAATACGTTAAAATTAGATTATAATTGTACTGATAATTTAGAAAAAATTATGAAAAACACAATAATAAAATTTTAAATAAATACTTAAGACAGAATAAAAAAATTAGTGATCCAGAAATAAGAATAAATAATAGTAAAAAAAATGAAACTGTAGGACTCCTATAAATTGTCCATTGAATAACAAATGTTTTACAAAATCTATAGTTTACCAATGTACTATCTCATCTATTGAGAATCCTAATATTAAAAAAAAATTATATTGCTAACACTAAAAATATTTTTAAGTTAAGGTGGAGGCAACATCTGTCTTCCTTCAAAAATAATCTGTATCGTAACCAAACATCACTATCTGAATATTTTGTCATTTAAAAGAAACAATAAAACAGCCACAGTAAAATGGGAATTATTAAAAAAAAACAAAAAACGAGAACATGTAGGTCTTTAAATGACCCATGTCCTTTGTGCCTACATGAAAAGTTATATATTATTAAGTTTTTGAAAAATAAAGACTTATTAAAAAAGAAAAAAGTAAGTGTTTTTGTAGACCTTACATTATGTTTACTTTAAAACATAATTAATTTAAAAAAAAAATCATAATTACATATCTATTATTTGATCACAAATAAAAAGTAAGAAAATGCGTAATTAAATTCCAAAATTTAAAATCTTAATTTTAACGATGTCGTATCTAGTATATTATTAATAATAATAATAAATATAGCATTTTAGATCTTTATGCAATATATAAAGTATGACTTAGTCATATTTGAAGCCCCTTAAAGACAATCTCAATGTATTTAAAAAAAAAAAATGAAAAAATAAATAACAAATAAATAAATATTCCAATGTATCGTAGTGTATCTTATACATGCCCCTAAATAAAAGGAAACAGACAGAATGACATGTTCCCCTATAAGGAAGCCAGTATCAACTGGCAGAAATTACAAACCCACGCCTAAACCTTAACCTATATTTACACGTTGCCATCTTAAATTACACTTGTATCCTGATTCGTCAAAAAAGGCAACACCCTTTCAAAATTTTGTAATCTATTTCTCCCTCCAATTTAAACTATATAATACCATTTAGCTTAAAAAATAAATCATTTTTCTCGAAAGTTATTGAACATTGCTTGAGAATGGAACAAATACTTAATTTTAAGTTTAATTTAAAGTTTAGGTTTTAGTTCCGAAACATGGTAATTTCTGTGTCGCTATGAATAAATATTTTTACATAATAATTATAAGAATAATAATAATAATATATATACATGTGTCTGTATCTGTGTGTGTGTGTGTGTGTGTGTGTGTGTGTGTGTGTGTGTGTGTGTGTGTGTGTGTGTATATATATATATATATATATATATATATATATATATATATATATATATATTTTGTAGACTATTCGTATATTTCTTTTTTAGACCTGTTTTTTCTTTTACATTTTTTTCTTTTTTTTTTGTTTCTTTTTTTCTTTCTTTCTTTTCTTTCTACATCGATTTTTCTTTTTTTTTCTATCTTTCTTGTTTCTTTTTTTTTTTCCTTTTTCTATCAATTTTCTCTTCTTTCTTTCTGCATCGATTGTTTTTTTCTTTTTTTCTTTCTTTCTTTTCTTTTTTCTTTTTTTTTTCTTTCTTTCTTTTTTTTTTTTTCTTTCCTCTTTGTCAATTTTTCTTTTCTTTCTTTTTTTTTTTTTTCGATTGTTTTTTTTTTTTTTTTCTTTTTTTTCCTTCTTTTTTCTTTTACTTTTCCTTTTCTTTTTCTTTCTAGATCGATTGTTTTTTTTTTTTTTTTTTTCTTTCTTTCCTCTTTGCTTCGTTACTTTCTTTCTTGCTTCTTTTTCTTTACTTTCTTTCTTTCTACGTCAATTTTTTCTTTCCTTTCTTTCTACATCGATTGTTTTTTTTTTTCTTTCTTTTCCTTCCTTCTTTTTTCTTTACTTTCTTTCTTTCTTTCTAGATCGATTGTTTTTTTTTTTCTTTCTTTCCTCTTTGCTTCGTTACTTTCTTTCTTGCTTCTTTTTTCTTTACTTTCTTTCTTTTTTTTTTTCTTTTTCTTTCTACATCGATTGTTTTTTCTTTTTTTTTCTTTTCCTTTTCTTTTTTACTTTCTTTCAGATCGATTGTTTTTTTTTTTTTTTTTCCTTTTTTCCTTTCTTCTTTTTTTTCTTTACTTTCTTTCTTTCTTTCAATTTTTTTTCTTCTTTCTTTCTACATCGATTTTTTTTTTTTTCTTTTCCTTCCTTCTTTTTTTCTTTACTTTCTTTCTTTCTTTCTTCGATTGTTTTTTTTTTTTCTTTCCTTTTTTTTACTTTCTTTCTTGCTTCTTTTTTTTGCTTTCTTTCTTTCTTTCTCATCAATTATTTTTTCCTTTCTTTCTTTTTTTTTTCTTTTTTTCTTTTTTTTTTTCTTCTTTTTCTTTTTCTTTCTTTCTTTCTTTCTAGATCGATTGTTTTTTTTTTTCTTTCTTTCCTCTTTGCTTCGTTACTTTCTTTCTTTTTTTTTCTTTTTTTCTTTCTACGTTTTTTCTTCCTTTCTTTCTTTCTTTCTTTCTTTCTACGTCAATTTTTTCTTCCTTTCTTTCTTTTTTATTTATTTCTTTTTTTTTTTCTTTTCTTTTTTTTTCTTCTTTTTTTTTTTTTGTTTGTTTTTTGTTTGTTTTGTTTCTTTTCTTTTCTAGATCGATTGTTTTTTTTTTTTTCTTTCTCCGTCAATTCTTTTTTCTTCCTTTCTTTTCTTTCTTTCTAGGTCTATCGTTTTTTTTTTTCTTTCCTCTTTGCTTCTTTTTTCTTTCTTGCTTTTTTTTTCTTTACTTTTTTTTTTCTACGTCAATTTTTCTTCCTTTCTTTTCTAGATCGATTGTTTTTTTTTTTCTTTCTTTTCCTTCCTTCTTTTTCTTTTTTTTTTTCTTTCTTTCTAGATCTTTTTTTTTTTTTTTCTTTCTTTTTCTTCGTTAATTTTTTCTTCCTTTCTTTTTTTTTCTTTCTTTTGTTTTTTTCTTTTTTTTTCTTTCGATTGTTTTTTTTTTTTTCTTTTTCCTTTTTTTTTTCTTTTTCTTTCTTTCTAGATCGATTGTTTTTTTTTTTTTCTTTCCTCTTTGCTTCGTTACTTTCTTTCTTGCTTCTTTTTTTTTACTTTCTTTCTTTCTACGTCAATTTTTTCTTCCTTTCTTTCACATCGATTGTTTTTTTTTTTTTTTCTTTTTTTTCCTTCCTTCTTTTTCTTTACTTTCTTTTCTTTCTTTCTAGATCGATTGTTTTTTTTTTTCTTTCTTTCCTCTTTGCTTCGTTACTTTCTTTCTTGCTTCTTTTTTCTTTTTTTTTCTTTCTACGTTTTTTTTCTTCCTTTCTTTCTACATCGATTGTTTTTTTTTTTTTTTTCTTCCTTTTCTTTCTTTTTTCGATTGTTTTTTTTTTTTTTCTTTCCTTTTTGCTTCGTTACTTTCCTTTTTCTTTTTTACTTTTTCTTTACGTCAATTTTTTCTTTCCTTTCTTTCTACATCGATTGTTTTTTTTTTTCTTTCTTTTCCTTCCTTCTTTTTCTTTACTTTCTTTCTTTCTAGATCTTTTTTTTTTTTTCTTTCTTTTTGCTTCGTTTTTTTCTTTCTTCTTCTTTTTTTTTCTTTCTTTCATTCTACGATTTTTTCTTTTCTTTTTTCTTTTTTTTTTTTCTTTCTTTTTCCTTCTTTTTTCTTTACTTTCTTTCTTTCTTTTTTCTAGATCGATTGTTTTTTTTTTCTTTCCTCTTTTTGCTTCGTTACTTTCTTTCTTGCTTCTTTTTTTTTACTTTCTTTCTTTTCTACGTCAATTTTTTCTTCCTTTCTTTCTACATCGATTGTTTTTCTTTTTTTTATTTCTTTTCCTTCCTTCTTTTTCTTTTACTTTCTTTCTTTCTTTCTAGATCGATTGTTTTTTTTTTTTTTTCTTTCCTTTTGCTTCGTTACTTTCTTTCTTGCTTCTTTTTTTTTTTCTTTCTTTTTTTTTTTTCCTTTCTTTCTACATCAATTTTTTTCCTTTTTTTTTCTTTTTCGATTGTTTTTTTTTTCTTTCTTTTCTTTCTTTTTTTTTTTTCTTTCTTTTTTTTGCTTTTACTTTCTTTCTTTCTTTTTTTTTCTTTGATCGATTGTTTTTTTTTTTCTTTCTTTCTCTTTGCTTTTTTCTACTTTCTTTTTCTTGCTTCTTTTTTCTTTTTTCTTTCTTTTTTCTACGTTGTTTTTTTTTTTCTTTTCCTCTTTGCTTCGTTATTTTTTCTTCTTTTCTTTCTTTTTTTTCTACATCGATTTTTTTTTTCTTTCTTTTTTTTTTTTTTTCTTTTTTCCTTCTTTTTTTTTTTTACTTTCTTTCTTTCTTTCTAGATCGATTGTTTTTTTTTTTTCTTTCTTTCCTCTTTGCTTCGTTACTTTCTTTCTTGCTTCTTTTTTCTTTACTTTCTTTCTTTCTACGTCAATTTTTTTCCTTTTCTTTCTAGATCGATTGTTTTTTTTTTTCTTTCTTTTCCTTCCTTCTTTTTTTTTTTTTCTTTCTTTCTTTCTTCGATTTTTTTTTTCTTTCTTTTCCTCTTTGCTTCGTTTCTTTCTTTCTTGCTTCTTTTTTTCTTTACTTTCTTTCTTTCTACGTCAATTTTTTTTTCTTTTTTCTTACTTTTGTTTTTTTTTTTTTTCTTTCTTTTTCTTTTTTTTTTTTTTTTCTTTACTTTCTTTCTTTCTAGATCGAATGTTTTTTTTTTCTTTCTTTCCTCTTTGCTTCGTTACTTTCTTTCTTGCTTCTTTTTTCTTTACTTTCTTTCTTTCTACGTCAATTTTTTCTTCCTTTCTTTCTACATCGATTGTTTTTCTTTTTTTCTTTCTTTTTCCTTCCTTCTTTTTTCTTTACTTTCTTTCTTTCTTTCTAGATCGATTGTTTTTTTTTTTTCTTTCTTTCCTCTTTGCTTCGTTACTTTCTTTCTTGCTTCTTTTTTCTTTACTTTCTTTCTTTTTTTCTTCCTTCAATTTTTTCTTTCTTTCTTTCTACATCAATTCTTTTTTCTTTTTTTTTTTTTATTTCCTTCTTTTTTTTCTTTCTTTCTTTCTTTCTTTCTTTCTAGATCTTTGTTTGTTTGTTTTTTGTTTGTTTCTTTCTTTCTTTCTTTCTAGGTCGTTACTTTCTTTCTTTCTCCGTCAATTTTTTTCTTCCTTTCTTTTCTTTCTTTCTAGGTCTATCGTTTTTATTTCTTTCCTTTCTT